CTTTCTTATTCTGCTAAAACACGTAAATCCTCATAGTTTTCGCTTTAGATCTCAGCACAAGCATCTACCCTAAAATCCCATAGATAAGCGCGGTTTAATTTACCGGTGAAAAATGAATTGGAATGAATTGAAATTGAATGCAGTCACCCCTCTAACTTGATGGATAAATAAAAATCGGAGAAGAAGTTTAGAAGAAGCTCCGCCCCTCAACTCTAAATCCCGCCCGCTTAATAAACAATTCATATAGAAAAATAGCGCAACGGAATTTCGGAATTTTTATATGAATTGTTCATTAAGTGGGCGGAGTTTAGAGTTGAGGGGCGGAGCTTCTTCTAAACTTCTTCTCCGATTTTTATTTATCCATCCATCAAGTTAGAGGAGTGACTGCATTCAATTTCAATTCATTCCAATTCATTTTTCACCGGTAAATTAAACCGCGCTTATCTATGGGATTTTAGGGTACTAGAGTTTTGCTATAGCACAGAGTTTTATTTTCGTTTTTGATTGATGTTCTTTTTATCAATGCTGTTTCCGAGCCACAGATAAGATCAGACTCATTCGTAGTTTCAAATATATTTTTTATTTTTTTTTGGGAAATGAATATATCCATTTCCGGTCTTGTATGCTTTGTATCTCAAGCTAAAAAGCTGCCTAATTACGTCGCTTAGAAATCCGCAGAAAATTGCATTCGTGACCTCGAAGATCTTCAGAACCTCAAAAAGAATATTTTCTAAGCTTCTCACCTGCATTATGTCAGCTGTCAGCATCGTTGATTCTGTGTCACTCATCCATTGAAGAATGTGAAGCTTTTTTAAAGCAAGAAATTTGAATTTTTGAAATGAGAAGCGGAAGCGCGAGTTTTCTCCTGGATTTTCTTGAGTTTTCTGGAAAACATATTGAAGTAGCTTTTCGAAGTACTAGAAATCTGTTCAAAATATCCTTTTTTGATGGCAGAGGAATGGGAAGTTTGGTCCTGAAATATCTGGGCATTTTTAGTATTTTCAAGCAAGCTGGTTAGTTCTTCTCTCAAATTTTAGCAGCTTAACCTCCTAAACCCCTTTTCAAATCTCTCCTACTTCTAGGGAATTTTCTTATCAGTTCAAAATAATCATCGGGAATATTCCAATCGCTAAAGCGGAGAAAACAATCCGAAAACACCGAGCTAAATTCTTCCACCTTGCCATAGCCGAACTATATATCACTTCCTGGTATCACCTTAGTATCTGTGGCGTTGACTGAGCTGTTTTCTCTGGACAACAGATGACTTGTCAATCTCTTAGCCATTTGCTGTGATATATCAATGTACACACTTAGCACATCCCTGTTATCATTTTGGTATTTGTATGGTCCACAAATCAATCATTATGGGCCACGGTGAATTTGGCATAGGGCAAAAGTTCAACGCAAAAGGCTCTTCTTGTTGCTCAGCCACTGCACCAGTTTGCTCAAAATTTACTATAAGATAATGCATCTTAGATTTTCCTAAAAGCAGGGTAATTAGAGAAAATAAAACAAAGTGAGAAAGTGACAACCAATTCCGTTTCATTCCTTCCACTAGACTTAAAACGATAGGAATATGATCTTCCCCGGAAATCATTAGTAGTGAGGGAAGATCGTGTGGTTAAGAAAAAATGATAATAAGGAACCTTAACCTTCGTTTAATTTGTTTTCTTTCATACTCAATCCTTATGTGTGAACAAATCTCAAACTTGGGTAATTAAACCAATTTTTTCTGTATAGCATTCTCTGATATCGCTGAAACATGGTTTCAACATCTTCTGTGAGTTTTTGTCATTTATTCAAATCTTGGCATTAAATCAATATTTTAGATTTCAACTTACAAGGAATTCTTGTAGAAAACTTCCCGTTTAACTAGGAAATTTCTAGGAAGAATCACTGCCTAGAAAATTTTTTTGTGTAGCATTCTTTGGCATATTCCCCGAAAATTTTATCTTGGAAAGTTTCCGCACACAAAGTAGTAGTAAAATAGTTTTTTGCTGTGCGTATCTTACGTATCTATCTCCATTTACACTACATTCTCTTAGAAATTCATGCCATGAAATTCTCTTAGACACACAGCTCATCTTACCGTAATGCTACAGTACATCAGGCGTGGTAGCAATGACCTAAAAACCAATAATTCCCTGTTCAACACGGCTTTTCGGCTTTCTTCTTTCGCATCAAAAAATGCTCAAAATATGAGAAGAAAGTTCCGCATGCATTTTATTGTGTAAAACTGCGTCATAGCAGATATTTTTGTTCTGGCCACTTTGTCGTGGCTAAGGCTCTCATCCTTCCCAGATTGATGAATATCGCTTTGCTGAAGGAGTCTCTCAAGCTTTTCTCCGCATTTGAGTTCCAGAAAAAGAAATCAGACGCTTGAAATGTGTAAAAGTCTGCTATTTGCAGTGATTCTTGCGAATTTTCGGCATTTCCTGTGTACTTTTCCAACAGATGTGCGCTTGTAAATGAAAGCGTATACGAGCGGAAAAAGCAGAGAACATTTTAGCAAAACGAATTGCACCGTAAGCGTCCGCACACATCTGCAAATGCTAGATGCTTGGAGCTCGCATTTGCACTCTTGCAGTAATCTGCAAACAGCTTTGAATCTATGTTCCTCTATAAATATCAAAGGGATAACTGGCGAGTGTATGATATCACCCACGTTTTGGAAACTGCTTCATACCGCCTAAATTTCTTGAAATGATATTTTTCCAGCAGAGAAATATTTGCAATGTTTAGTAGTTTCCGACGCTTTCTTGACTTGTTATGTGAAACGAAAGTCAGAGAGACACTGGACATAGCAAGAAGTATCTTACACTAAAAAGCCATTGATAATTGTTAACTCTCATGCCCGATAATATGCCGGATAAACAGGTGTTTCAAGGCCTTCCAGTAGAGGAGTTAAGCAAAAATTTCCAGTTTTTTTTTTGCGTTTCCAAACGGTCGTAAATCTCCTTATTTCTCGAGATTCCTTGATTTGGAAGATTATGTGGCATACTATTACTAACGGTAGACTAGCCAACTTCGATTTTGATCTTTCAGAACTAAGAAAGTTTCACATGTTGGAGAGAGTGAAAATGTTCTCAGTTACGACCAAGCCAAAATCTCATTTGTTCCATTTTCCGCTTTCAATATCTCGGATTAGGGAGGACCAGTCAGGCTCAAATCACTTTTATGTAAAATGTAAAATGTAAAAAAAAATAATTTTTTCGCTTACACAATTACTTCAAACTTTATTATCCAAAAATTCATATACACACTCAATACTCTAAAAAACTAACCTCTCAGTGTTGAAATAAATTTTTGCAGACCTTCCTTCCTTACTGAGGAGTTCCGGGGAAGGTCTGTAAATACTTTTACTCCGTCTAAGAGCAGGAACGAAACGATTTTGGTTATTTACACATTACATTAAAATACTTTACTTCTCATTATTTATGTAAATTATAAGGCTTGTCTATCGAATATATTCATTCTTGTCGCCTTCTTTCGCAATTAACATAGTAGCAGCAGACTAGGCATGTTACCGTAATCCAATATTTTTGCAGCGCTTTCCATTTGCATAGGTAAGGGAAAAAGATTATATCTTTCCGTAGAAGAATCTATGTATAGAGAAGAAGGTTGAGCAATAACATCGATATAAAAAACGCAGATATTTTGAATGGTTTGAAGGTAAGTTAATGGGGTATGGGGTGTGGCACAACCCCTAAATTTCTAGGGGTTGTGCCAAACTCCATTAACTTTTTCCAAAGAGAATTTTACGAAACAAATTAGGTACAGTTGCACAGTTCGATAGAAAAATCTCTAGTTTTTGTAGAATTGATTAGAGCTGAATTCGTTTTCTTACGAGTAATAGTTGCTGGAAGCACAACCACTGCAAGCGAAAAATTGGACAGACAAGATTTTGGCTGGCTCCTAATTCCATAGTTTGATGGTCATTGAAGCAGGATTTATGGTATAGGCAAACAGAGAGCACTGCTTCATATTGAGTACAAGAAGTGATAACAGATTCGCTTAATATAGTCAATCATGTTTGAGAATGGCCATTTCACTTGGGTGGCTCAATATTGAGAAACCCCAGAATTCGCTGAAACTTTCCCACAGGGATTCTCTAACGTGTTAATCACAGATATGTTACTAGCCATGCTAAGTAAACCTTGTTGTGTCTACGGCAGCCAAACGAAGATGGGGTGGAGGGGGGGAGGTACTAGGCAGAACCTGGGGGGGGGGGGGGGTCGTATCTTGCGGTTGTGCGCCACACCTCTTGCTCGACCCTGGTTGTGATATTTTTTAGAATTTTACGCACAAAAAACCTTGTGATGTACCCTGACGAATACAAAGATCTCGCTGCAGCCTCTAGATGAGAATCCATATTGGTTTTGGATCACTAGAATTTCCAGCCGAGAAGAACCACTAAAATTTCTCACATTTTGTGCACCGTCATGAGCTCTCAGAAATCGCACTGTGCTACTGATGAACTCACCAACTCTTTTCATAATAGATCAAACCTTTTGATTTTGCAGTCTACATACTTCGCATTATACAAACTTGCCCAATTTCTGAAGGGATTATCAAGAGAACTATCAAGAGAACTATGTCGAATATAAAAACTCTACATGGTATATACAGCAATTGTTAGTACAGGGAACCTCCGAAAATATAAATTACTTGTGCACGAGAAAAAGCGTCGAGAAACTGCACAGAATTTGTGACACTCATCAGCGTAGGGTTAACTAGGTTTTAGCATTTAAGCATGAAATAACTGGAAGAGTTGGGGGAGAGCAGGGAACGAAAGAAGTCATCAAGCGCATAAAGACGTTAAAAACGGAGCGAAATTTTTGGTTGATGTTTGTATCTCTATAATATGGGCGGAGTAACCGGAGGATCATAAACAGCATAATCAGGGCGAGTTGTCTTGCAGAAGGCAGACATTATCACTGTATAGAATGAAAGACAACATGAAGAAAAATGTGTTCAGTCCTAAAAAATTACAATTTCAGGTTTGGGTGATCGCCTGGATGTGTTCAATGGTGGACAACACAGCTACCTCCGGGTACCGGCACATTCCGGACGAACTTCGCCAAGCATCGCTTCGAACACATCCGAGCCCGAATCGTGCATCGACAATGGACTATACCAGGACGACGACGACGTCATTGGCATGGGTAGGTCATGCAAACCATTTTTTCTTTTTTTTCGGCATTTTTTTCTACTTTGGCTGTGGAAACTACGGGGCCATAATGGAGACATAGAGGAGCCATTTACTCTCCATGCACTGAGATAGTCTACTCTCACTGGGAGTGGAAATTTGGATGGGAAAGAGATCTACGGCCGTCGATTGGGATTACACTACAGCTTCACATCTGGGACTGTCCCACACGATACAGGAAGCAACTTTTGTCAACGGGACATCAGGGTTCGAAAAACGAGGGGAAAAACGCCGCTAGGATGACTCTTCAGGGCTTTTATCATCGCCCCTCGCAGGTAGACTAGAGATTTCAGCTAGGAGGCGAATGTCTACTGTTTCGTTCTTGTAACAGTTCTTCAAAAATCGATTTATTGATTTCGTCTTCTGGGGGTTAATTTTTCTTTCTTTCCTCTTCCTTGCCTTTTCTCAGCAAATTTTCATGTTTATTATGAACGTCGACTACGGCGAATATTTCATTATTTTTACTTCATCCATTTTTTCGTAATATACGTACAGCCAAGTACAGCACTGGCAGTGCCGCTTTTCAAAACTGCGTTTTAAACGCTATAAAGCGCCGGAAGTGCCGCATTGCTATAACTTCTTTCAGACTGCTCCTATCGAGCTCTGATTAAAATATTTGGAACCAGCGCTGTCTGTTGCATCCGATGGTATATTTGAAAATTGAAAAATTCACAATTTTTTTGTGCCCCACGGCGCAATAAACGCGATATTGCGTCGAAAGAGCCGCATTCGAATAACTTTCCACAAAACTACTCTTTCTAATTTTCCTTGTTATATTCGGATTAAGCACTGATTGATCTATCCGACAGTATATTCAAAATCTGAAAAAGTCAATTTTTTCATGTGCCGCAGGGCACAATAAACGCGTTTTTGCGTCGGAAGTGCCGCATTTTTATAACTGCTTTCATATTTATCCCACACTAATCTTGTTTACACAGATGTCATCAGTGTCCCTCGAGCTATCCGCCAATGTGTTTAAAAGTTTGAAAATCTCAATTTTTTAGCAAATTACACGTTTTAAATCTTTTTGCCCCATTTTTTGCACTGATAAGCTGATAACGATCTTCAAAGTAATTGTACAAAATTCTGAACAACATATTTGAAATCAGTTCATCGCAAGCTATCCAATGATATGTTTAAAAACCTAAAATTCTCAAATTTTTTGTTTCCGATTTTATTGGTCCCCCATAGTGGCATTACTAGCTAGGCTGGCTCCGGCCCTTGACTGCCGTGACCTATCAATATCGATTTTTGCTATCATAACATGCATGGTAACAAAATACAGTATTAAGACACACGTTGAGCTTCACTTGCCAAAAGCAGCACCCAATGAATTTGAATTTCGAAATCATGAACTTCAATTTTTGAAATTCGTTGAAATTTGAAAAATACCCTTAAATGACTGCAAATTCCAGGCAGTAAGAACGATGATGTCCATGCTTCGAGCGAGAACTTGTTAATCTGCTGATCTCCATTTTGAAATTTCAAATCAGTCATTTTTCCGGATCTATGACTAGAGGCGCGATTTTTATTGCCAGATAAGTACTAAACAGGGCATATTTGTCTTATAACGTTCTAGAAATATATGAAGTTTCGAAGAAGCTTTTATAGGTAGTCGCTCATGCTGCTTACTCTTACTATTTTGTAATCAATTCAAAAGAAAAATTTTGAAGGTCAAAAACCCATGCGAGTTCAGTTGGTAGCAAATTTGTGAGTATTTCGTCCAAATTTCGAGCGAAACCCGCCAAACTCTGCAAGTGGTAACTTCAGACAGCTATTTAGTTGATGCACTTTATCTGGTACTAATTTGAAGATTCGCACGGGATTTTAGCATTAAAAGGGAGCTCTAGTTGATGACAGCCGAAGAGATCGCAAGATCTTCCTGACCGTCTCGCATTTCTCCTACCTATTGCGGATCACACCAGCAATAATCAAAAATCACAGTTTCTCCAAACTAATCGATATTTGGATGATATTCCTTTAGATAACTTCACACCTTTGGACATGCCTGGGTCAGCTGGCAGGTGCACCCACAACTGAATAAAATAAACTAAGGTACAAGACATGTTTTCGTAACCAGGCACTTCTGATAAAGGTAAAAGTTATGTCTCCCAACACTTTCAAATTTCTAAAGTGCGCTGCATAGTGAACCTGGGAATTTGATACCATAAACTCCAATTTTTGAAATCTCGAAAATTCAGAAATTACCCCTAATTGTTCAGGATCCAAGACACATTGAGCAGAATTGAAGTTCGCTTATTTCCAGTTTTGTTTTTAAAATGTACTGCTATTGTCACTCTGAGTTTTCCAATTTGAAATTTAGTAATTTTCACTGAAACCTTAGCTCTGTGAATGCGATTTTGACAAATCAGTTAAAGACAGAGCTCTTCACTAAAATATGAGAAAAATTTCAAAAAAATATTTTCCTATTCTCAAATCTTCCTTCGAATGAATATTTCTGATTCGAAAGTTTAACTCAATCGAAAGAAGTAGCAGTGTATGAGATACATGTAAAATTTTCAGTACTTCAGTATTTTCAGTTCAGAAATCCCTGCTCAGAACAGGGAAATTGCTTGACCGATCCATGACCTCGAACCAACCGTTAACCACCACTACTAACGCCAGCAGATTCACGTCTTGAGAATTGATGCCGGATAGTTTTGTAGGAGGCCAATCATCATATATGTCACTACAATCGAATTTCGATAAGCTAGTGAACATCCTTTTATAAATTCTATTTCGAAGTCAAAAAGTTCTGTGGAAAAAATGGAAGAAATCGTTTAGTTTAGCAATATAATCACGGCTTCATCACCCTATGGGGATCTTCACAGTGATTGACCTCCAACAAATATTGCAAAATCAAAAGTTTTGCTCACAAGACTTGATTCTTGAGCTCTTTTCAGAAGTGAACATCCTGTGATACTTACATGCAGATTTCGTGCAGCAAATGGATTATGTTTCGAAAACGTCAAAGTTAAAGTTGCATCTTTTTTGTTTGTCTAAGAGTTTGAGAGATCTTACTGTTAATACCAGAGTCGTAGTTCAATAATAGATAAAAATCATTCTGGGGCTAAAAATCAGTACCACTTTTTGGATTTTGAAAACATTTGCTTTTGGAGATCTGCAACAATTCTCCACAAATAAAGAAGCGTATTGTGACAAGAAGTTTCGAAAAGCTGTATTGAAGAAAATGTGTTTCTAGACATATGGCATCCTTGAGTTGTTGCTAGTTGATCTGCACGCATTATGGTCTTAAAGTACTAGTTATCTATAAAAAATGGAAGTGGTGATATGCAAAAAACGTTTAAAGTGCCCCTACTTGTTTTTTTTTTGGTGGAAATCTGCGGCAATTTGAAAAAAACATTTCAGTGCAGTCGAGAGTGAGGAAGTTGGTCTTGATTCCAAAATCCAAAGCATACATCTTTTGGCAAAAACAGGAAATGACTGACCAAGTTTTCGCTATAATTCAGCGGGATGAAATTCTCATTGAATGCTTGAGCCTCATGAGCTCTCGAAAGAAGAATGAGCCAGCGCCTTGATTCTGACAAATAGGTTCCCGAAACCGAAACCATTGATATTTCACTCAGTTTCGGGCAATTTATTCTCCCAAGGGCATGTTTTCACACCTCAACGGTCTACTGCCTGCGAACTGTTCCATCACAACACTGGCGCTAGATGTCGAATAGAACTTACCATCAGAGCATTTCTAATTTCTTTTTCAATGCTCTTCGACCTAGCTTAGCATCTATGAAGGATAATTTAGTAGTTCGCAAGAAACAAATGGTAATGAGCATTGATTTTGATTCTGATAATTGCAATTTAATTTTTGTTTGGCTAAATTTGCTAGCTCCATAAGAAAATAGCGATATCAGGATTTCACCATTAAATTCCAGTATAGCTAGAAGATATGATCAAACTTGGCAAAAATTGGAAGGCTTCTCAAAATTCAGGATTATTATAGTTTTTGCTCTTGATGTCTTAATTAGAGATGATAACCGTAACGAATTTGATTTGAGTTAGCGAAAATCAGAAATTATGATTTTTGCTTTTGAGATCTCGATCGCTCACCACGGGCAGTTGCCGAATTTCACCACACAAAAAATTCATCGACTCATCTCAGACACAAAATTATAATTTGAGCACTTTTTTGTTTCAATTTACTTCGAGACCTCAAGTGTTATGGTTGTAACGAACTTGTTCCTAAAATTCATACGTTGCAGAACCGTGTAATCGTAGTGGTAAAACCGATGAAGAGTGAGGTCATGATCACGTAGCTGTTTTAGTTACACTTACTACGGACCAATGAATAGTCAGATTTGCGAAATTTCTACTAAAGCTATTTCTTTGAAATTAAGCAGAGAATCAGAAAAACACATGTTTGACCTAAGAAAAATCTTCTCGTTAATCAGCTACAGCTAGAAGAGCAAGCTCCTTTTCAAATACGTCTGCATAGAAGGGTTACAAAATAATTTTTTATCTCATTGCAGTCATTTTGACAATATACAGATGGTACATTCCAGCTGCCATCGCACTGTTACCAATCAATTAGCTGGCATGCCAAAATTTGATTCGAAATCAAAAATTGAAATTTTAAATTGGAATCTTAAAGAAAGTTTGAAATTTCAAAATGTAGATCAGCAGATTAACAAGTTCTCGCTTGAAGCATGGACATCATCGTGTCTTACTGCCTGGAATTTGCAGTCATTTAAGGGTAATTTTCAAAGTTCAACGAATTTCAAAAATTGAAGTTCATGATTTCGAAATTCAAATTCATTGGGTGCTGCTTTTGGCGAGTGAAGCTCAACGTGTGTCTTAGTACTGTATTTTGTTACCATGCATGTTATGATAGCAAAAATCGATATTGATAGGTCACGGCAGTCAAGGGCCGGAGCCAGCCTAGCTAATAATGCCACTATGAGGGACCAATAAAATCGGAAACAAAAAATTTGAGAATTT